TTGCCAGAGGCCACTCTCAGTTCTTTGCCATGTGAGCCTCTCCAACATTGCAGCTTCTTCATCAAAGCATAGAAGCCAGGAAAGCAATAGAGGAAGAAAGCCAAGAAGACAAAATTCACAGTCTTTTATAACCTAACCAGAGAAAGCATCCCTTTTGCTCTCTTCTGTTAGAAGCCAATCAGTAGGTCTCGCCCACATTCAGGAGGAGGAGACCACACCTAGGCATGAATCCCAGCAGGTGCAGGTCATTGGGAGTCATGTCAGAAGCTGCCTACCACAAACATCTTCATAAGTTCTTTCAGTGAGTGTTTGAGGACAGTAGCTCTATCGATTTTCGATGGTTTGAAAGTGTCTTTATTTCAGTCTCATTCTCTGTCCTTCCGGGATTCCAGGTAGAAGTATGTTAAACCATTTGATATTGTCCCACAGGCCAATGATGCTAGGTTTTTTTCCCCAGATTTTTTTTATATGATTTTCCAAACTTTCTATTGGTGTTTTCAGGGTCACTGCTCTTAGCTGCAGTGTATTGACTTCTAACCTTTGTACATTCAGGCATTTAAAAACATACTTCTAAATGGTTCACCACCAGAGGATAAAGCAGAGTGGAAATTTGAAAATATTAAATTGAACAATAAATAAAGTATCATGTTTCAAACTCTGGACACAGCCAAATATACTACTTAGAGAGAATGTAAATACTAAGGAAAATTTAAATACTCCTTTAAGAAAATTAATGAACTGAATGTCTAGCTAGATCAAGAAGTTAGAAAAAACAAACAATTTAATCCCAAAAACATAGAGTGGAGGAAATTAAAAGAGAAGAATAAAATTACCAAAACTACAGCACAGAAGATCAATGTCTAAGTATTTGAAAAGACTTATGAAATAAACTTTTGGCAAGATTATTCAAAGAAAAGGGAGAAGATCCAGAAAATAATGCAAGAAATAAAAAAAAGCAATGTAACAAAATGTATATCTGAGATTTAAAAAAAGGTAAGTAAGTAACAGGAAAAAATTTGTGCCAATAGGTTTTGAAAATTTAGGTGAAATATTCCATTTTCTAGAAAATTGTCACTTTCTAAACCAGCTTTTGAATAAATAGAAAACATTAAAAAACTTGTAACTAAATAAATAAATAAAGGGAAACAATCAAGCATTTATTGTGCCTTTTCTACATAGGCTCTGCTTAAATATCTGAATAAAAGAGGGGCAGTCTGTCTTTACAGAAGTAGTCTCAGTAATGAATGGAGAAGGAATGATAGAATTACAACACCAGTATTTTGCAACCCCAAATGAATTGTTCTTTAGGAGTAGCTGATAACTTCAAAAAAAGACAACCAACTATTAACATTTGAGGGACATGCTAAAAAGTACTGAAAAAGTATGAAAAAAAAAGTAAGAAATAGGACCTGAAACTCAGCAAGTCACTTGATCCAAGTTCTTATTTACATGTAACGATTTAATTGTAAACTATAACAAAGGGATTTAAAGTGTGTAAGGTTCACAAAAGTTGCATATGTCAGAGAATGCTTCCTGTAAGAACTGAACTGAGTCCTGGAAGCTGGTTATGAGTCAGCTACATACAAGCAAAGAAAAACATAACCTGCAGAGGAGAAAGGCATGGGGTAGTACGGGTGGGTAGTAGAAAGAGCTTGAGGGGCATTGCAAGTCCAGCTGAGAATTTTGTTTTATTCAATTAAAAAATTGGTGATGGGATGTCATTCTGATACCAGGGTTCTTGTTTACAGAGTCGAAGAATGAACTTCACAAACACTCAAGGTAGGAGAGCAAGAGAGAGGCTTTTATTTAGAGATAAAGTGAGAGGACAGAGCTCCTGGCTCACACCTGGAGGGGACAAGAGTGCCTGTAGTGGTATGTTGTTTAATGCGTGGTTGAGGACTTTTAGGAACGTGGTAAAGGGCTAGGGGTGCAGACTTGTTAAGTGGTCTCAGAATGCTCATTTTTGATGAGTAACAGAAGAAATTTGCTGCTCTGATTCTTTCTCAGGATAGCAGCTTCCCTCTGTGAGTATGTCAATGAAGACCGCCTGCCCTGCCCCCAAGGTCGGCTGGGCTGCTGCCTGTGTGCTAGAGTGTGTTAAGAATCTTACTTCTTAACTTCTTGGGTTGTTTATAGTTGGGATTGCTTACCAAGTTAATCTTTTGCCCAGGTTGTAGATTACTTGATTAGGGTTAGAGAAGGAAAAACAGCATATAGGAACAGTTAAAAGTAAGCTGGCCCTTTAAGCAGGCTAAGGTAAATTTTAACAGTGTCAGGATCTAATTGACACAATGAAGTCACAGGTTATGCTGAGATACTGTAGCTAGTGAATGTTTAAACATTCCAGGCCGAGTTGCTCCTGGCCTTTTGAGCTTTCACTGATCTCACTGAAGAATGCCTATATTCCTAGTCTGGTATCTTTACCCTAGAGAATTAGTGTGACTCTGACTTTGTGTAATGCTTAAGATGAGTTTCAGTAGGGACTTACTTGCACGTCGTTACATTGTTCTGACTGTAATTATCTTGCTTTGCTCTTTCCTGGAGGCCCTCACCCTACTCTGCCTGAACCCACAGTCCTTGTCTCAATTCCACTGGTGGTGGAACATCACTCATCGATTTTCATCAAGGAAATAACATGATCATATCAGCATTTTAACAGGATCAGCCTACTGGCTCTACAGAGGATGCCTTAGAACAAGGTGAGACCGCAAGCAGGATGACCGGTTAAGACAAACATGGCAATTTATTTAAGTATCAGTTATATCTTTAACTTAAATTTAGGAAACTCACCAATATCATTAGCCATATTAATAAATTACCTGGGGATGGAGTTGGTAATTTCTTGGGGTGAAATATACTAAAGTTTAATTTCATATTCCATCTAAATAATTCAGATATTATAGATGGATCATATAGAACTAAAGCATCTATTACTAAATATAGAGTTGAAAAAATATATAAATGTTCATTAATAATAAAGTTGCATGAATAATATATTTGAGTACATAATAAAACAAAATGATATATAATAATATAATAAAATACTTTGCTTGTGCTTATGCTCTGGTCTTGGGACCAGGAAGGCCTAGATTTAAAGTTTAGCCCTGCGACTTACTAGCAATGTAATTCTAAGAAAGTCACAACCACGGTGGACCTGTTTCTTCATCTGTACAGTAAGACTGTTTTGCTCCCTGCTGTGTCTCCAGTACCCACATAGTGATTTACACACTGCTGATGTCAATAAATATTTGTTGATCAAAGTTGTATCTGCTTTAGAGAGTTGCGGTGATAATGAACTGAGATAAAAAATGTGAAAGTTCTTAACACAATTCTTAACAAAGATATTATAAAATGACTGCTTTATGCCAGGCACTATGCCAGGTGCTGGGCATATGAAATTGAGTAGGACAGTATCACTACTCTTGGGAGCTCTGTCTAAAGCAGCTAAAGTACGTGTGATGGAACCCATGGCAGGTGCTCAGTGAAGTTCAGAGTAGGTGCTCAATAAACTTTGAATCTGAATTTTTATGACACTTTATAAAGCATTTTCATGAATATTATCTTACTTGAAACAACTTATATAAGTTTTAAAAGAATAAACAAAAGCCTTAAGGATTCAGTAGAGGGAGGGATGATCTGTTGGGATGAAGAGGCACAATTTCATGGGAAAGACAGAATTTCAAATGAGCTTCAAACATTGATGGATTTTGACAGGACTAAAAGATGGAGTGATGGGAGTTTTATAACAGAGAAATATATAAGCAGAAGCTTGTCCTTAGTAATTCCATATTGCTTTTCTGTATTCGTGAACCATCTTTACAGATCCCCTCTGGAATCAACCCTACAGTCCTTTGAAAATCCAGAGAACATTTTTTCCATCTTTAGTCTTCATGCACATTTCATGAATTCTGATTACTAATTGGAGTTACATGACAACATCAATTTATTCACAAATATTTGTTAAACTCTTACTATGCTCAAGGCACTCTTCCTGGTAGTGTGTATACAAACTACCACTCCATAAAGCAAAAAGTTGTAAATGCCATAACTGGGTTTGAACTGGAATTTGCTCTACGAAGGCTGAGAAGGAACATTTGTGATTTTTTTTTTCAGTTCTCTTCCTACAATCAACTCATCTGATTTTGGAGATACGACCTTTTTAAAAAAAATTAACTGTTCTTTTATAACCTCTTTCAGATTACTTGCTGGTATTTGTGGTACCCTTTCCCACATGAGGTTTTTCTCTTTAGCCCAAGAGTGAGGCAATTTAAGAGTCAAAAGACTGCCGTCTGCCTGGCACCGGGTTCAATACCCACTATGCATTATCTTGAGAAACTATACCCAGGTGTATACGTTCTTGTTCTGAATGTTCTTTAAAGAATCTTCTATTTGCTTAGCATACTTGCAATATTCCCTCGACATTGGAGGTTGGCTGCTTCAACAGTAACCCTAGGAGGAAGGCCCAGGAAGAGTTCTCTCTCCTGGTTTGTGACGCATGTTGTGCGTGTATGTTGTGTAACTCTCTGCACGGCCCTGAAGGATGGAATGTCTTATCAGTGCTGAAGTATTTCGGAAACTGATTCTCTTAGAGGATAATTTATCCAAGGTCTTAGAGCTCAAAAGTGGTAGACCTTGGATATGAACACTGCTATTGCTGACCTCAAAAATATCTTCCCACTACAAGATGCTAACCATAATAAAGTGTATTTTTAAATTTAACCATCTGTTTTTCGTAAAAGACTTAAAAAAAAAATCTGGGTTCATCAAAAAGCTTCCTGTTAGGTCTCACGATTTCAAGTACTCGGCGATCATTTATTACCCAGTTCAAGGCCTAGGCCTATTACCTGCTCTCTTCAGCTATCTTTTCAAATTTATTGCTCCTGCCCAGCAACCTAGACAAGGCAGCAAACTGAGGCAAAACCTGGTCAGGAGATACAGCGCTTAGCCCCGCCCCCTAAGAAAAAAGCCCGGGAGGCGTGGGAATGGGCAGGGGTGGGGCTGCCTTTCGGCCCGAAGCATTTATACGCCTCCCAGAAAGCCCCGGGATCCCTCTGCGCCCGCTCAGGCCAGGCCCCGGCCGGCACGCCGGCCTCCGCACGCTCTGCCGCGCTCGCGGACGCTCTCGCGGCCGGCGTCGCATCTGGGAGTCACGCGACCGCGGGCTATGGCCGCCGCGGGGGGCGCCCGGCTCCTGCGCGCCGCCACCGCGGCCCTCGGCGGCGCAGCCCACCGGCGGCTGCTTCTCGCCGGAGCCGGGAGCCTCCCGGACGGCCGGGGGCCGGGCGGAAGCGCCGAGCGGGGCCTGGGGGGCCGTGTCGGGGCGCACCGGGCGCTGAGCGCGTCGGCGCAGGCGCACCGCAGGTGAGGCGCGGGCCGGCGGGAGGGGGCGGGGTCTCCGCCTGCGGGGTCCGCGCGCCCTCGTCCGGGGCCTCCTGCTCGTTCTTTCGGGTACCTGCGAGCCCTAAAGTTTTCTGTCTGAACCATCGACGCCTGAAGGGAACTGCGACCCCCGACGCACCCTGCCATTTTTCCAGCGCCTTCTGTGCTGTCAGGAAAGCCGGGCGATTTTGCTGCCGTGTTACTTTGCTTTGCGATCTAACCTTTGCTATGCGAGGATCAAGGATCCGGCAGTGACTTGCATAAGATGCTCCCCGTGGCCATGGTTTCTTTCTGGGTCTTCTGCTCTGTTAGGACATTCTGTCTGCAGTTCTTTGTCCGGGGAAATGTCCATTCAGAGCACACCCGTTCTGTTCTGTGTACTTCCGTGTATGCCCTCCTAGTCCCTGCGATGGAGTGGCAAGGCAGGGCCTTGGCACTTACTGCCTAACTTCCTCAGTCTCTCTAAACCTCAGTTTCCCCAATTGGAAACAGAGGATAACAATATTGTAGGCCTCACAGGGTTATTTGAGGAATAAATGAGATTATACAAGTAATGCAGTAAGTAGTCTTGTGCCTGGCAAATAGGACAATTCAGAAGATGCCACTTGTTTAACAGTAGCAGCTTCTTAGGCCCAGTAGTGTTTTGTATTAAATATTGAAAGAGATGTAAAAAGTTTTCCCAAAATGTGTTGAAATTCTGTATTCTTGGATATGTTTGTTTTTCAAAGATATAATCTCCTTAGACAAGTCCCCTTGACCCTTGAACAACACTGGTTTGAACTACATGGGTCCACTTAAATGCAGATTTTTTTCAGTAAATATATGGGCAAAGTTTTTTGGAATATGCAGCAATTTGAAGTGAGTAATTTTATCTCTATTATAGTTGATACTTGAACAATGAGGGGATTAGGGGCTCTGACCCCTGCACAATGGAAAATCTGTATAGAACTTGACTTCCCAGAACTTAACTACGAACAGCTTATTGTTGATGAGAAGCCTGTAAACACATACTTTATGTATTATTTTATGTTTGTATACTGTATTTGTACAATAAAGAAAACTAGAGAAAAGAAATTTTTTCTCATCGTAGAGCAGCATGGTACAGACTTACGTAATGCAAATCTTTGAACAGCTCTCTGACCCCTGCTGTCATGTAACAGGAAACAAGAATTGGACGGAGAGTGTTGGATTTGTATTCTGTCCTTTCTAGTTTCTTCTTGATAGAGAATAGGGCCTAGGACTTAATCATCTTTTCTTCCTTAATCCTATTATGTAGTGGGTGCTCAGTAAATTGTTGCCTGAAACTTGAGTGAGATAATGGAGAAGGCAAGCCAGATTTGTTCATATATACCCTTCGCTTCCTGCCCTTGACTTGCCTCCAAATGGCTGCCTTGCTTTCTACAATAGATGCATTCTTGAAAAATTTGTGTATAAATTGGGACATAAATTGAATATACTTGTGTAACTGGTATTTAAGGAAGCATGAATGTTTTTGTAGATAGGAATTCTCTGCCCCAAATTTATTAAGTTTGGATTTGGGTTTATCAAATTGTCTTAAAGGGAAGCACATCTGTTCTGTTGCCTCATAATACTGCCTTCATCTCTTTATGGGCACGGTTTTCAGCTGATGGCCTGTGTCTTGTATCACAGTGTGTGGAGCTCCAACTAGACTTTCAGACTTGTATTATCTGAGAGATGTGCTGGCCAGTATGGTTACCACTAACCAGATGTGTCTATTTCAGTTTAAGATAATTAAATTTAAGTAAAAATAAAAATTCAGTTTCCCAGTTGCATGGCCTTATTTCAGATACTCAACAGCCATGTGTGGCTAGCAGCCACTTTATTCGTTTTTGCATGTATAGAACATTTGTCTCTGGTAGTGCCTAAAGTTTGTGGACAGAACAATTTTGTCTTTGAAGTTTAATATTTACACAAGCTATCAGCAAGAGAGTCAAAAAAAGCCTTTTACTTCAAAATAACCCTGACAATACTTTTTACTTTATAGTGATTTAGGTTTTACATATGTTACTGCACTTGACTCTTAAGAAATCCTGTGAGATAGATGGGTTATATAAATGGTAATAAAAATTTCAGATTAAATAGGGGGCAAAACTAGTACTAGACCTTAAGTAGTTTTTGTGTTTTTTAAGCACCATAATATTTACTAATTCCTTAGCCTGTAGGGTCATTTGGAAGAATTAAGGTGGCTACAGAAGCAAGGAACCCTAGAGGGAGCCCTTTTTTTGGTCCAACTGCTCTAAGCTACTTTGTATAGTGAAAGGGTGGGCATCAGCAGCAGTAATTCTTTTTCCAATTATAAGTCTTTTCAATTTACAACAGCAACCCCTGACGACTTTGTTAAAATATGTACTGTAGTTGAGCAGAATAAATGGCAGTAAGTAAAGGGTAACAAGTGAAGAACATAGTTGTTTGTTAGTACTGGATAATTAATTGATAGAGGATTTAGAAGGATCATATTTATTTCTCCGTGCATGAAATTTTATCCTTGGTAATACTTAAAGCTTTTTGTTCTTAGAACTGAGGGAAATGATCTACCAGACCTACCAACACCAATTGTTAATAGTGAATGGATGAAGTTATTTGGACAAAGAACTTGTATATAATACTTTAAGGAACAAAGTGTTTCCACAAACTTTCTCTCCTTCAGTTCTCTAAGCAGCGTGGTGAAGTCACTGTTACCGGTCTTACCCATCGTGATCTATCTAATGAGTATGTGACAGAAGTGGGCTAGAATCTACATCTTCTGATCTGAACATTCCCATGCACTTTCGACTACAGAATTGCCTTTCCTCTGTCTTTTCTGCTTCCTCTCCTGTCCTTTGTAGATCTATCACTACTCTAACTGCAGTTTTTTTCTTTCGCTGTACACCTTTAATACATAGCAGCAGTTCAAAAGGACTAGGTTGCTTAGCAACAACAGGGCTAGGGCTTTTAAGTTGTTAATCAGTGTTTGTTGAACTCTACTGTGTTAGATATTTTGCATACATTATCAGTAGTAGGAGATAAATGTTAACCTGATTTTACATCAAGGAGTCTGTAAAGGAGTAAAAGATTTCCTTGCTGTAAACTTAGCTCTAGAGCCCTCCAGAAAACAGCAATCCTAAAACCTCTGGCTTTCAGTAGTGTGTATAAATGATGGAATTCTTGCTGTTTACTTCTATAGCTATAGCTATAGAACATTTGTATAAAGTAACATTTGTTGATGTTGAATCTCTAGACTGCAATGCTGGGCTCAGACACATATTCCATCTGGTTTCTGGACATTCTGTTCTGTTTTTTTTCTGTTACTGAGTTAAACAGGTCTAAACTCAAGCTCATTTCCATCTTCTTCAGAGCTCCTTCTCTCTTAACCCTAGAATAGACTGTACCCCATAATTGCCAGAGATGGAAATTGCAACATTATTTCTTCCCACTCTCTCAATCCAACCTTATATAGATGGTACCAAAACCTGTTAATTCTCCCTCCTGAATATTTGTTAGGTCAGTGTCTCTTACATACTTTCTTAGTTTGTACTCTTTTAATACCCTCCAAAGTGGTTCCCTGCCTTCAAGTATCTTCATTTTCAACCATTCTACCTTGAAAAACTCAGTCATCTAGTTGAAATCATGAATAATTGGGGATACTTGTTTTTAAAGTGGTTTTTTTTGCTATGTAAAGAATTTTGAGAGCAAAGCCCTTTTGAGGAACATTCTCTGTTATTTGCTCTCTCATGCATGCACACCCACTAATAATTTTTAATTAATGGAATCCTTTTTTTTTTTCAGCATTGAATTGTCAAGGAGGCCATTCTCTGATAGGGGCTTTAGTTGCCTCGCTTGTGAAATGAGATAATTGGACTTGATACTTTGTAAGATATTTATAGCTCTGAAATATAATTCTAGGTTTTACTTATATTAAAGTTTTTCTTTGATGGATTATTACCACCTATAGGCAGCCTTGAAAGTTACAACTAAATATTTTAAGCTGAAGTACATCTTTTCAATTGTGAGGTAAAAATTAAAATGGTCACTGGTGGAGGCTAAAGGTCTAGTTGCTAATATAATTTCTTTTCCCAGATTTTGGAGTGATGTTTGTGAGAAGGGAAAGAAATTTAAGTTAGTCAGCTAACCACTAGGTAATATACTACCCTGTAATAAAACATGTAAGGCGCTATTATATTATCTTCCCACAGATTCAAACAAATAACCCTTTTCAAATTCCTTTGGATTTTAAATACACAATGTGGACCAAAATGAGATGTTCAAATACTCTGAAAACTATCAAACTATAGCCTATCAGCAACAGCATAGTCAGATACCTGCATGACAGTCACCTTGATAGCAGAATGATTTGCTTTTTAAAGGTCTCTACAACATGGTCCAGTCTTTTAGGGACACATTCATAGGGACATTGTTTTTCAGAGACCTGTATAAGAGCAGAATAGACTTCATGAGTCATAATGACTGCTGAATGTTTTCATATAACTGTGACCTGTGACCATGACCACTGGAAGACATGCACCTGGTGGCCTTGATAGTGACATAGTTGTGACATATTTGCTATTGTCTTTAAGGTGGTAGAGCTTCCTCCTGGTAGGTGGGTAGTTTGACATGTCTCCGCTTTTGTGGTGTCTTCTTCCCAAATAAACTGGAAAGCAAAGAAAATACTGTACAAGAACATATTTGCACATGCACACACACACACACACACACACACACACACACACACACACACAGCCCTATTTCTTTGACCTTACAGGTTCTTAATCATTAAAACGTATCTTTTGAAATTACTAAAAATAATAAAGGACTGCTTCCTTTTCCAGCTCAGAAGATAAAATAACAGTCCACTTTGTAAACCGTGATGGTGTAACATTAACAGCCAAAGGAAAAGTTGGTGACTCTCTACTAGATGTTGTGGTTGAAAATAATCTAGATATTGATGGTTTTGGTGAGTATGGAACATTCCTTAAAATTTATAAGTGAAACTATTGAACAGGTTTCAACTTTTAATTTTTTTGAAGAATTTTAACCTATAGCATGCTAAGTAAAATACTAAAATTCTGATGTTACTGTTATATTTTCATTTGTAAAGAATGAGTGATACTGTATAGTCTTTATAGATTTATTTAGCTGTGTGCGCAACAGTCTGTTGTCTCATTACCTTACCTTATTGATTACATGTGTGATATAAAGCTAGGAGTAGGTATTGAAGTTGAAAGATTAGAGATAATAAATGTCATATACCACAGAATGGTAGTTTAAACTTGTTTTTTTTTTAAACTTATTATTTTGAAATAAGTACAGTAACAAAAATAGTACTTCTTGTATGATCTTCACTGAACTTCCTCTGCTGTTAACAGATTACATAACTAGTACAATAATTAAAACCCAGAAATTATCACTGGTTCAGTAACTAAACTACAGACTTAAATAATTTTATTGGTTTTCCCACTAATGTCCTTCTGTTCTGATATTAGATCCAGGATCCCACATTGCATTTAGTTATCATATCTCCTTAGTTGCTTTCATCTGTGACAATTCCTCAGTCTTGTTTTTTATGACTTTGATACTTGTGAAAAGTACTGGTAAGTCATGTTCAATTTGCGTTAGCTAGTGTGTTCTTGATTAGATTAAGCTTATGCATTTTTTTAAAAAAAAGTGAGGAGTTTTTTTTAAATTAAGGTATCATTGATACACAATCTTATGAAGGTTTCACATGAGCAACATTGTGGTTTCAACATTCACCCATATTAGCAAGTCCCCCCAAAACCCCATTGCAATCACTGTCCATCCATGTAGTAAGATGCTATAGAGTCATTACTTGTCTTCTCCATGATGTACTTACCTTCCCTGTGACCTACCTATATTGTGAGTGCTGAATATAATGCCCCTGAATTCCCTTCTCCCTTCCTCCCTACCCACCTTCCCCACCCTCTTCCCTTTGGTGACTGCTAGTCCCTTCTTAGAGTCTGTGAGTCTGCTGCTGTTTTGTTCCTTCAGATTTTGCTTTGTTCTTATACTCCACAGATGAGTGAAGTCATTTGGTACTTGTCTTTCTCTGCCTGGCTTATTTCACTGAGCATAATATCCTCCAGCTCCATCCATATTGTTGCAAATAGTAGGATTGTTTTTCTTTTTATGGCTGAATAATATTCCATTGTGTATATGTACCATATCTTTTTTATCCATTCATCTACTGATGGACACTTAGGTTGCTTCCATGTCTTGGCTATTGTAAATAGTGCTGTGATAAACATAGGGGTGCATATGTCTTTTTGAAATGGGGCTGCTGCATTCTTTGGGTAAACTCCTAGGAGTGGAATTCCTGGGTCAAATTGTGTTTCTGTTTTGAGTTTTTTGAGGAACGTCCGTATTGCTTTCTACAGTGGTTGAACTAATTTACATTCTCAATGAGGTCTTTTTTTTACTTAGTATTTTATTTTATTTTTATTGAGATATAACTGACATATAACATTAGTTCTAGGTGTACAGCATTATGATTTGAGATTTGTATGTACTGCAAAGTGGTCACCATAGTAAATCTAGTTGACACTGATGGCACTGTACATAGTCTTGAATGTTAGGTCACCTTCCAAGGGGAGGTAATTTTTCTGCCTCTTATTAGAGAAGGAAGTGTTTTATTTAGAGAGTTTTCATTTCTAGATTTTTGATCATATTCCGTAACCACTCATGCAAATCCTTTGTCCAAGAAACTGTCATCTTCCAGCTCAGAAGTGCCCTGGGTCATCACTTGTCAGTTTTGCTCAGGCATTCTCTCTCTTCAGAATGGTGGTCCTCACAGAGGATTCCCTGACCCATTAGCCTCAGTGGCACTTGGGAAATGCAGATTCTCAGGCCCCACTCCAGAGTTACTGAATTAGAAAGTGGGTCCAGTGATGTGTGTTTTAACAAGGTCTTCATGTTATTTTGATGCATGTTAAAGTTTGAGCACCACTGGTATTCAGTAAGTTACAAGGAGAATATCTGACTATGCTTCTTTCAAGGCATAGTTCTCATTGCAGTACTAGATCCTTTCCAGATCTGAATTCTTTCTCTTCTTCGATTTTCCCATGATACATTAAATATACCTTTCTATGTTAATGCTTATCATAGTTTTTCATTTTAGAGAGAATGCCTCTTCCATATTATCTTGTGAGCTCTTAGAAGACTGTTAATCACCTACACAGACTCATAGAGTAGACTTTGTCCAGAATTGACAATCAGTAATATTTCCTGATTTTCTAAATCTTATGTCAGTTTCAGGGTTAATTATAACAACTGCCATTAAGTGCATTCAACATTCGAGCATATGTTATTTATTATTATAACAACTGTAAAGAGGTGAACCTTTTTTTTTAAAACCTCCATTTTATAGATGAAGAAATAAAGTTCAGGGAAGTTAGTTTTCCCTGGGTCTTACATATAGCAACACATATGTCTCTAACTTTAAGCCTTTGTTTTTTCTAAGAAGTGTCTTTCCTGTATGAACACATATTACAGAATAAGGTGATGAAATAGTTGATAAAATTTTAAGGAGTTTTTTAGTCTAAAACAGTATTTTTTGGCTGAGATTGAGTCAGAATCTCTGTAGAACTTAAGAGTACAGACATCTGTGTCCCACACTCGATAGTACAGGGAGAGAGGGCTGTTGTACAAGTATATTTTTAAAAAGCTCCACAAGATTCAGATTCCACACTGTGGTTAAAAATGGCTAATTTAGGGAAATAATTTATTGATAATTTATATATAATATATATTCTATAAATTTATGTGTAATTGATCTCCCTCATGAGTTCATATTCAGCTACACTTTTGAACTTAGTTTCTCTGAATTATTCTCTCACAAATGAAGAGTCGCACATAGCACAGTAATTGAGAACAGACTCTGGAGTCAGATTATGGTTCATAAACCAGCATTGTCACTGACTAGCTGTAGGACCTGCTGCAAGCTCCTTTAACATCTGTGTGACTCAGTTTCCTTTTCTGTGATAAGGAATTATAATAGTTCCAGTATCGTAGGGTTGCTAATAATTAAATGGGACACTGGAAGTAAAGTGTGTGGCCCAGTGCCTACCTTGGTGAGAATAGTAGAGTTTGTGTCATTTTAACTTGGCACACTGCATCTTCCTCTCCCCAGTTCTGCAGTAGCTTTAACAACTAGCAGCTTCAGAATTACAGTGGCTGTGAAAACCAGTAGCCCTGCAGCTGCTGGAGAGGCAGACTGGGTTTGAGTCCCTCAGGAAGCCCCATCTCCAGAACACTGTCACCTGTCTTTCCAGAAAAGCTCCCTCCCAGGGAGTTGTTACTTGACCTACCTCAGAGACTGCTCTGTGGGGAAAGCTCTATCCCTAGGACTCTGTCTAAAATAATCACCTGCAGGTCTTTAACACTGTAGTTGCCTGAGGCTGTGATACCAGTTGGGTCAAACAAGAGCCTGGCCAAAAATATAAAAGGAAGAGCTGGGGAATGAGATGGCTTTGAAGTGCTGTGGGGAGCTAGAAGGCCATGTACATGTATGTGCTGGGCCATGTGCATGCCCAGGAAGGACCCAGCAGAGCCCCAGGTTCTCATGCCTGGCTAACCTGAAGGCCCACACAAGTGAAGGCCAAGACAAACATGTAAACCCTCTAAAGTCGAAGGTGTGCCTAATCACACACAGAGATCCTCAGCAAAGGGCAGAAGACTTCAGGTTCAAAGCACTGAAGGAAAACTCTTCCCAGTCATCTAGGTGAGCACTAAGTTAACCAGGCTGATACCTCAGTGGCCACACACTATGGTGAAGAGGGACTTTAGAGAATTAAAACAGGAAAACAACTAGAGAAACAAATAGCAAAAATAACCACCAAAAAGCCAGCAGAAACACCAAACCCAGGGGAGAGGGTAGCAATCCTTATTCCCAGAGTTGCCACATTATAGTATTTACAGTGTCCACTTTGCAATAAAAAATTCAAGATACCCAAAGGAACAGGGAAGTATGGCCTATACTCAGGGAAAAAAAGCAGTCAATAAAAAATGTCCCTGAGGAGGCCCAGGTGTTGCACTTATTAGACAGATATTAAATCAGCTATTGTAAAAGTTCAAAGAATTGAAGGAAACGATGTGGAGGTGGTCTTTGGCATCTTTACATAATGTGTGGAGGCCATTACCACTCTGTGTGAGGGTTCATAAAGAAGTAGTGTACATTGTTCCTGCCCTTGAGAAAACTGATTTTTTTGTGTTCTGGCAAAGCCAATGGAGAAGCTATCTAGTAAATCTATTTCTATAAATTTGTCCACAGATTCAATCTCACTTAGGAAAATACTTGTATATACTAGGTATATACTGCAAAGATATTTGTAACAGCAAAAGATTTGAAACAACCAAATGCCCATAAATAGGGAACTGATACATAGTTGTACAGTGGGGTATTATATGGTTCTATTAAATAAAAAAAAGCATCTTTGGAAGGAGCCTTAAAAACAAATATCAGTGTACCTGTTGGTAGGGGGGAGGTAGGAAGGAGATTGTCATTATAAAATTTTTATACTTTAAAAATTTTAAACATTGTAAATGGATTACCTATTTTTAAAACGTAAGAAGAAAACTCGAAGACAACATTAAGTGTCTAACAATAGGAATTGCTTAAGTCCATCATGGCATTTTTAAATTGTAGTATTTATCCGTTATGAATAATATTCCCAGTGAATTTATAACCACGTAAGTAGGTACTGATAAGTGAAAACACAGATTGTATTTAGTTGCTTTTGGTTTCAGAATGCACTGAAAAAATACTAGAAGATGTTTGATGTTGGTTGTCTCTACTTGGTCTGATTTTAGGTTTTTCATTTTTATTCTACCTTCTCCTATATTGTAACTGTTTCTGTAGTGACTTAACTGCTTTAATACCCTATGACTTCAGGAAGTTACTGACCTTCCATGTGCTTCACTTCCATTATCTATCAAATGAGG